TTTGTGGTACTGGGTGTTGAACTGGGGGTCTCATGCTAATGAGCTAAATATTGAACTTGAGAACTGTGAAAGATCAACAGAGAAATCCCAAAAATACATGAAGGAGAAAAAACAAAATAATAAGTTAAATTAAAATGAACAAAAGGGCTAGGGGAGCTGGGAGTGGTGGTGCATGCTTGTAACATCAGCATTCTGAAGGCTGAGATAGGAGGATTGTGAGTTTGAGGCCATTCTGAGTTATACGTAATAAAACCCTGTCTCAAAAACAAAACCAAAATCAAAACAAGGGGTGGGGGATTTAAGCCTGTAATCCTAGCTACTTGGGAGGCTGAGATCAAGCCAGCTCAGGCAAATAGTTTGCAAGATCCCATATCCAAAATAACCAAATGGCCAGGCCCAGTGGGTCACACTTATAATCCTAGCTACTCAGGAGGCAGGGATCAGGAGGAACATGGTTCAAAGCCAGCTCCAGCAAATAGTTCTTGAGACCATTCTTGAAAATACACAACATAAAACAGGGCTGGTAGAATGGCTCCAGTGGTAGAGTGCCTGCCTAGCAAGTGTGAGGCCCTCAGTTCAAGTCCTAGTACCACAAATAAATAAATAAATAAATAACCAGAGTAAAATGGACTGAACCCACATATCAAGCAATAGAGCAACTTCTTTGCAAGTGCAATACCCTGAGTGCAAACAGTCCCACCAAAAAAAGTGAGGGGGGGGAGCATGTCTACGAGTATAACTCAGTGGGCAGGATATATGCATGAGGTCCTGGGTGTGATCCCCAGCATCAAAAAAAAGAAAAGCTTTCTGTCCATGGACGCGGCCGAGGAAGCATCGCTTAAGTCTCTCTTCCCACTGCCGTTATGTCTAAGTCGGAGTCTCCTAAAGAGCCCGAACGACTGCGGAAGCTCTTCATCGGAGGGCTGAGCTTTGAAACGACCGATGAGAGTCTGAGGAGCCATTTTGAGCAATGGGGAACCCTCACGGACTGTGTGGTAATGAGAGATCCAAACACCAAGCGCTCCCAGGGCTTTGGATTTGTCACTTATGCCACTGTGGAGGAGGTGGATGCAGCTATGAATGCAAGGCCACATAAGGTGGATAGAAGAGTTGTGGAACCAAAAAGAGCCGTCTCAAGAGAAGATTCTCAAAGACCGGGTGCCCACTTAACTGTGAAAAAGATTTTTGTTGGTGGCATTAAAGAAGACACTGAAGAACATCACCTGAGAGATTATTTTGAACAGTATGGAAAAATCGAAGTGATAGAAATCATGACAGACTGAGGCAGTGGAAAGAAAAGGGGCTTTGCTTTTTGTCACCTTTGCTGACCATGATTCTGTGGATAAGATGGTCATTCAGAAACACCATACTGCGAAGTAAGGAAAGCCCTGTCGAAACAAGAGATGGCTAGTGCTTCATCTAGCTAAAGAGGTCGAAGTGGTTCTGGAAACTTTGGTGGTGGTCGTGGAGGTGGATTTGGTGGCAATGACAATTTTGGTCGGGTTGGAAACTTCAGTGGTCGAGGTGGCTTTGGTGGTAGCCGTGGTGGTGGTGGATATGGTGGCAGTGGGGATGGCTACAATGGATTTGGTAATGATGGTGGTTATGGAGGAGGCAGCCCTGGTTACTCTGGAGGAAGCAGAGGCTATGGAAGTGGTGGACAGGGTTATGGAAACCAGGGCAGTGGCTATGGCGGGAGTGGCAGCTATGACAGCTATAACAACAGAGGAGGCGGAGGCGGCTTTGGTGGTGGTAGTGGAAGCAATTTTGGAGGTGGTGGAAGCTACAATGACTTTGGCAATTACAACAATCAATCTTCAAATTTTGGACCCATGAAGGGAGGAAACTTTGGAGGCCGAAGCTCTGGCCCTTATGGTGGTGGAGGCCAATACTTTGTTAAACCACGAAACCAAGGTGGCTACGGTGGTTCCAGCAGCAGCAGTAGCTATGGCAGCGGCAGAAGGTTTTAATTGACAGAAAACAAAGCTTAGCAGGAGAGGAGAGCCAGAGAAGTGACAGGGAAGCTACAGGTTACAACAGATTTGTGAACTCAGCCAAGCACAGTGGTGGCAGGGCCTAGCTGCTACAAAGAAGACATGTTTTAGACAATACTCATGTGTATGGGCAAAAAACTCAAGGACTGTATTTGTGACTAATTGTATAACAGATTATTTTAGTTTCTGTTCTGTGGAAAGTGTAAAGCATTCCAACAAAGGGTTTTAATGTAGACTTTTTTTTTTTTGCACCCATGCTGTTGATTGCTAAATGTAATAGTCTGATCATGACGCTGAATAAATGTGTCTTTTTTTTAAAAAAAGAAAAAAAAGAAAACATCAAGGGGCTGGCGGAGTGGCTCAAGTGTTAGAGTGCCTGCCTAGCAAGCGTGAGGCTCTCAGTTCAAACCACAGTACTGGCAAAAAGATCAATAATGGAGACTGGTAAAACAAAAAGCTATTTTATATAAAAATATTGAGGCAACAGACCTACCTTTGTTGAGTTTTGTCAGGATTTTGTTTTGTTTTGTGTTGTTTCTTTGTGGCAGTACTGAGCTTTGAACTCTGGGTCTCACAGTTGCTAGGAGGCATTCTACCACTTGAACCACTCCTCCAGCCCTTTTTTGTGATGAACTTTTCGAAGATTGGTGGGGAGGGTTGGGGAGGGGCGGGTCTCATGAACTATTTGACCAGGGATGGCTTTGAACCATGATCCCTCCTGATCTCTGTCTCCTGAGTAGCTAGGATTACAGGCATGAGCCACCAGCACCCAGTGTTTTTTGTTTGTTTGTTTGTTTTGTGGCACTGGGGTTTGAACTCAGGGCCTCACACTTGCTGGGCAGAGCCACTCCACCAGCCCTTTTTGTTGGGTTTTTTTCCAGATAGAGTCTTGCCAACTATCTGCCTGGGCTGGATTTGAACCATCATCCTCCTGATCTCTGCCTCCTGAGTAGCTAGGATTACAGGCATGAGCCACCATCACCCAGCTTCATCAGGAAAAATTTTTAAAAAGAGGTGTTGCTGATGTTTCCATCTTATGAAACAACAGGTGTGGAGGCCTAGACACTTCACTTTGACATGTCACCAGTTTGTGGCAGCCCTTTTGTCCCTGAAGAGGCTGAGCTCAGGGCAAAGAGCTTCCTGTGAGTACTGGACTTTTCCCCTAAATGGCTCAGTAGCTGGGCCAGGGAACTCCAGGAGACAAAGTATAGAAGGATGTCCAGCACAGCATAAGCTGGGGGTGGGCAGACTACTTCCCAGAGGAGGGTGCCTGACTGTTCTGAAGACAGGTGGGGGGGAAAAGGGGTCTCGGAGGCTCTACCTGGGAAGAGAAGGGCTCTGAATCTCATTCTCAAACTGGTCCAAGCCCACACACCAGCCCTTGGTATTGGATCCAGTGCAGCCAAGCTGCCTGCCTCTTTCCCCTCTGTCAGGAAAGTTTAATAGATTCCAGTGAGGTCTGGTCCTACCCAGGATCTACCCAACCTGGGGGCAGGCCCTCAGTGGACCATGGCAGGGAGCTATGGCAGGGAGAGGAACCCTCCTAGTCCCCACCCCACCTGGCTAGACCCACCGGTCACTCTGGGCACTGCCACTGCAGAGGCTGCCATGACCAGGTCAAGGGTGAGAGAACAAAGGGAGCTCTAAGGAGACAGGAAGAGAGCCTGAGCTGGCTGTGGTGCCTGGACTCTGTCCAGAGCTGACTGGGCTCTACCCTCAGCCTGGGTGGTGGGGTCAGCTCTCAGAATGACATCTCTTTGCCTGCACTCCCTTCTGGTCTGGGTCTACAGAGGATCACAAAAGTGATGCGGCCTCTTGTGGCCCCAAGAACTGGAGCAAGGCAGCCAAGGAAAGGACACGAGAGCAGAGGGTCAAAGAGAGAAGATGGGAGGTAGGCAGGGGGTTCTGTGATAGAGAAGGCAAAGGAAGGGTGGAGGGGCCCAGAAGAGAAACCAGGGAAGGCCAAGGGGCTGGAAGGGCCAAGAAGAGAGAGGAGGTGAGGGGAGGGGACAGACCAGGATAGAAGGGCAGGGGTCAAGTGCTGGTAACACCTTTGCCCTAAAGTTGCATGTAAGGAGCAGGAGGTCTTGAGCCTCGGAGCCAGTGTGAGTGTGCGCACCCATGTGGCTGTCTATCACTGTGTCTGTCATCACATCCGTTGTGTGAGTTTCTCTGCGCGCATGTCTCAGTTCTTTTTTCTTCCCTCCCTTTCCTCCTTCCTTCTTTCCCTCTCTTCTTCCCTCCTTCCCTCCTTCTCTTCCTTCCTTCTCTTTCTTTTTTTTTGCAGTGCTGGGGATGGAACCCAGGGCCTCCTGTATGCTAGGCAAGCAATTCTACCTCCAGACTATCTTGTCTGTCTTTCTGAGTGTGTGGGGGGGAGGGGTTGTGTGGAGCTGTGACTGTAGGGGGCTTGCCTCTCTGCTCTCTGTGGGGGTGTGCCTTCCACACTGCATACTGATTGAGGGTTCTAATGGTGGGGGAATCTGGATACATAGCAAGTAGTGTTTTCTCTGATTTATTTGGGGGGCATTGATGTCCCCTGACACCTCCCCCCCGACAATCTTGGATGAAATAGACATCACATTGGGAATCAGGGACCTGGGTGGGTCCTTTACACTGTGCTTCAGTTTCATGGGATAGAAACGGGGACCGAATGGTCATCACTGACCGTGTCCCCCTCTTCCTTCTCCATCACTCTCAATACCTGTGTCTCCCTCCATCCTCTACCTCTGTCTCTCTTGTTAACCAACGTCTTTCCCCTCTCTGCTTTTATTTCTCTCTCTCAGCCAGAGAATCCCACTCCATCCAGAGCCACCTCAGTCTCTGGCCTTTTTCTATTCTTGGTTTTAACTATGCCTCTGCTGGTCCTGGGACCCCTTTCCCTATAGGCTTTGCCTCTTTGCGGTGGATCTGCCCACAGCTTCACGTGCGGGTACTGTCCAGGGAGGGGGTCCGCGCCCCGTTCTCTTTCTCTCCCCTCCACAACCCCAGTGACAAAACAGACACTTTGCATTTACAAAGGTTTATTTTCCGTGCTGCAGGGGCGGGGGTGGAGATCGCGGGAGGGGGGGACGGGGCGGCTCAGAAGACCCCGGGCTCGGCGGGCTCGGCGGGCTCGGGCGCCCCGGCCAACTGCACCAGGCGCAGCAGCAGGGCCCCGGTGGCTCCGTCCAGCTGCGTGACATTGCTCCGGTCGCTGGCGCGGGCGCGGCGGTGAAAGCCCTCGCGGCACTCGGGCTCGGTCACGCAGCTCTCTGAGGAAGGGAAGGTATGAGCGCGGGCGCCCTGGGTGGGCGCAGGCCCGCGGGATCCCACCGCCCGCACGTCCCCAGGTGCGCACCGTCGCTGCAGCAGATGCCGCGGGCGGCGCAGCGGCCGCCGCTCCCGCACGGCTTCTGGCCCGACTGGCAGGGCGACGGCAGGTAGTTCTCCTCCTGGCAGCGCAGCGCCTCGGCGGTGCCCACGAAGCAGCCCAGCTCGTCCCCGCAGCAGATGCTGGGCCCGAAGCAGCGCCCTTTGCCCCCGGGGCCGCAGGGGAGGCACTGGGGGGCGGGACGGGAGGGGTGAGCAGGAGAGAGGCGGGAGGGGCGGTGGGGGACGCCGCGAGGCCAGGGAGGGGGATGAGGTGCGCGGGCCGCGGGTGCAGGTGGGACCGAGGGCTGCAGGTGCTGGGGCGCTGTCTTGGCCTCAGCGGTCAAGGGCGGGAATGGAAGACCACTAAACTCCTTGGCTTTCAGGTGACTGAGATCTGGTAGTAGATCTCAACATCCTCACCTTCAGTTGGGCGACAGCACGGGGGGCCTTTCCTCTTCAGCCCTGAGGCGTCGCAGCGTGTCCCCCTCTCTCAGTGGCCCGTCTCACCTTCATTCAGACTGTCCTCCCATGACTCAAGCCCGTCTTCCCGCCACCCTGTCCCATTGCAGAGGCAGCCCATCCAAAGCACACCCAGTCCCTTCCTCCTATTTTCTGGCTTCCTTCCTGATCCCCTTAAGACAGTTTCCCTGGCTACTGCCTTCCAGGCAGGTAGCAGGGGCCTGCGCCCTAAGGGAGGCCTACACACCTGGTGCCCCAAGCCTGGGATGGAGCCATGCAGAGAGAAGGCAGGCTGCGGGGGCTGCCCGCCTGCCCACGCCTGCTTGTTCAACTTATTAAAATTGAGCCATCCACAGGTGGCTCAATTTTAAGACCAGATTTTCTTTAGCTCTGTCAGAACCAGAATAAAAGGGAAGCGGCTGGCCATGTAGCACAAGAAAACTGGGCTAGGTACCCAGCAGAACTTCCTTATAGGATATTTGGGTAGCACACCCTGCTCAGGCCAGCTCAGAGCAATAGCCACCCTGTGTTGGGGGGTGGCTGCTTGTGGCTAGGGGAGGCTGGGGCTGGATGGGGGTGGCCTCAAATTCTGGGTAGAAAAGAGCTTTCAATACATCAGCCAGTCTCCATGAGAGGATCCCACAGGCTCAGAGGAAGCCTCACCACCTAGTTCTACCTGCTCCAGCCCCAAGCCCAGAGATGGAGAAACATCTCTCACTCCTGCACATCCTGTCTAGACAGGAACAGTACCCAGAAGCCCCCTCTGCCCCTCATGCCTGCCTAGCAACCTGGTCCCTCTCACCCACCCTGATGGTCCTTCTGCCCAGCTGTGCCTCCTCTTTCTAGGCACCTCCTAAAGGCTACCTTCTCCCATGACTCTTCTGTTTCCTAGCCCTTGCCCTGTGGAGCCAGACCTGAGGCACTACCCGCTCCCAGCAGCCCTAAGATGGGCCACATTGGTACCTGTCTCAGCTCCATGTCAGGCATGGCCCTCTTGCCGCCCCTTGGGCAGTTCTGGAAGTAGCAAGCAGAGGTGAAGGCCAGGAGGCCGAGGAAGCAGGCAGGCAGCATGGTGTCGGGCATCCTGGCGCACGCAGGTGGGCACTGTTTGCAGCGCTGCTTGGCTGGCTCTGTGCTGCTGCCTTCGCTGGCTGCCTATTTATATCCACAGGTGTTCCCTCAGAGGCGATGTAGCTACCAACCCCCTCCCCAGTTGCTCCCCAGGAGCCCCTGGCCTCCAGGTCCCAAGCTGTCAGCAGTGATTCAGGCGTCTGGGGACACACGTGGGCCTGTCTGTGCAGAGGATGGTGGAGGAGGAGGGGGGCAGGCCACAGGGCTGTCATTGGCAGTAGTGTGACAGAAGCTGCTGCAACTGTGACTGCGGGGCTCTGGATTCCAGGAGAGGGACAAACTGAGGGTCACCTGGAGACCATGTCTGAGCATTCTAGCTGCCCAGGAGAGGCTGGGGGTCAACAGACCCATTTGCCTGACACTGACACGACCCCTTGAGAGGGGACAAGATGGGCCTAAGGTGTGTTAGGGGAATGGTTAGGTCCTGGCTTAGGAGGGGTGGTGCAGGGGACAGCCAGGTTAGCCCTACAATAGAACAAACGACCAGGAATGACCTCCCACACCCCACCCTGTACCCACCACCTCTGTGTGTGTAGATAGGACAGGGCTTTGGAAAGGGACTTCCACCCTGCAGCCTCATGGGCAAGGCAGCCACCATCATGGAGTCGAAGGAGACAGAACTACAGGGTGGTTCCCTTAGGGGTGCAGCAGGCTTTGGTGGAAGCCCAGGATGCTCCCACCCCATGCATGCCTCTGTAGAGCAGGGCTTGAGACTAGGGGCCTTGGGGACAGCTTTGCGAAACCCCCCCAATCCAGGAACATGGGTTGGGGCGCTACTGTGGAGAAAAGAACTCCAGGTCCAGTAAAGTTCAAAGCTGAAGAGAGAGGCCCATGGAACCTGACAGCCACTTGTCAATTCCTGTCCACTCCCAGGCCCTAGGCAGGTACATCTCAGGCTTGGGGTGAGAGTAGCAGCTGGGGGTCCTGAGCCTGAGGGAGGCAGGAGCCACAGCTAAATTTACCCAGCCTGAGAAAGCAGTCTGAAAGTCTTAAAAGGGCTCAGCCTCCTTTCCCAACAGAGTGGTCTAGCTGGGGCTGGCAGAGTGCCTCAAGTGGTAAAGCTCCTGCCTAGCAATTGTGAGATCCTGAGTTCAAATCTCCCAATACTGCCGAAAAAAACAACAAACAAATCACCCAACAGAATGATCTGGTCTTGGACCCAGGCTGGCCATCACACATCTCAGGCTGTGTACAGCTCCCAGCTCTCCCAGTCCCTCCATGCTCTTAGCTGCCTCTCCAGGGGGAGTCAGAGGGACTTCAAAAACCTCCAAGTGACACAGTGGCTTCCTCCCCAGCAAGTGCAGTGAAGGAAGAGGTCTTCTGCACTCAGGACTTGATGCTAGACTTTTCAGGAATGACTCATTAAGGACTTGAGGCAATGCTGAGCATCCATTGTCTCAGGGATGCCAGAGCCCAGTGCCCTCTGTTGCTTAGAGATTTCTGAGTTAAGCAGATCACCGGACCTCTGTGCCCTACCTTCCTCCACTGTAAGAAGGAATAGTGGCCATTGTGTTGGGCTGTTGGAAACAGTGAAAAAATTAATGTGCAAAAGCTTTAGGAAAGTGTTTGTACCATCATGAAGTTAATTACTAGTAATATTGCATTATTATTATTATCATTATTACTTTTTTTTTTTTTGGCAATACTGGAGTTTGAACTCAGGGACTTATGCCTGTTAGGCAGACACTCTATCACTTGAGCCATGTCCCCAGCCCTTGTTGCTTTAAATATTTTTGCAGTAGGGTCTTGCGATTTTTATGCCCAGGCCAGCCTGGATCAAGATCCTCATATTTGTGCTTCCCGCATAGCTGGAATGATAGGCACACACCACCACAACCCCCAGTTTTTATTGATTGAGATAGTGGTCTCAAGAACTTTTTACTCAGGCTGGCCTTGAACCAACTCTCAAGAAGCTAGGATTACAGGTGTTAGCCACTGTGCTGGGCTCTTTTTTCTTTTCTTTTTTTTTTTTTTTTTTTTGCAGGGGTGGGGGAAGGGGAGCTGCTGTACTGGAATTTGAACTCAGGGCTTTGAACTTGCTAGGCAAATGCTTTACTATTTGAGCCATGCCCCCAGCCCGTAGTATTGCATTATTATTATTATTATTTTGTGGTGCTGGGGTCTGAACTCAGGGCCTGCACCTTGAGCCACTCCACAAGCCCTTTTGCGTGGTGCCTTTTTTTTTTTTTTTTTTTGAGATAGGGTCTGGAAGACTATTTGTCCTGACTTCGATCAGCGATCCTCCTGATCTCTGCCTCCTGAGTAGCTAGGATTACTAGGATTACAGGTGTAAACCACTGGCGCCCAGCAGTATTGCATTATTAATGTCTTAAAAGCTGAAAAGAGCCAGGTGCTGGTGGCTCACACCTATAATCCTAGCTACTCAGGAGGCAGAGATCAGGACCATCACAGTAGAAAGCCAGCCCCAGGCAAATAGTTGGAAAGAACCTATCTCGAAAAAAACCCATCACACTACAAAAAAAAAGGGCTAGCAGAGTGGCTCAAGTGGTAAAACAGCACCAACCTAGCAAGCAGGAAGCCCTGAGTTCAAACACCAGTATCACCAATAAAAAAAAGCTAATCAAATAAAATAAAGTACCCAACACAAAAAGGGCTAGCAGAGTGGCTAAAATGGTAGAGTGTCTACCTAGCAAGCATGAGGCCCTGAGTCCAAACCCCAGTATCATCAATTTAAGAAAGCTGAAGAGATTATTATTATGATAAAAGGTCTTATCACCATGTGGTTCAAGGCTGGCCTTGAACTCTCAATCCTCCCGCCTCACTGCCTCTGAAGGGCTGGGTTGGGATTATAGGCATGCACCACTTCAAGAGCTGAAGAGATTTTTCCGGAGACAACAGCTTCCTGAGTTGGGTCAGGAAGACCTTTTCATTCCACTTGTAGCTGGAATCAAGCTTGGCTGGAAAGTTTTGCCCTACTCAGGCTTTGTGGGTTGTGAGGCAAACAGAGGGCTGTTCAGTGGCCTTGTCCCACACCTTTCCTCCCTGTATTCAAGTTTGAGTTACTGTCTGAAAACCAGTGGAGCCAGACTGACTGAAGGGCACAAGCTTGGGAACAGGCCAGGACCCTCAAATCCCGACCAGCCATGTCTACAGGTTCATCATTCTAAAATCTGCTTCCACACAACGCCCTTTGAAGACCCCACGCTCCACCTCTACACAGATGCCAGAGGACCCACTTCCCTCAATGCTCAGAGCCTTGCTTGTTGGGAAAAGTCTCCCAGCTGAGCTGCCTGGTTGCATTTCAAATATATCAGCTCACATGTCACATGGAGCTACCCCTCCGCCACACACACCACACCCCTTCTACACTTTTTCCCTTACAGGTTCTCTTTCTAAAATGAACTTTTCACGTTCTACCTCCTTACATTCCCTACAACTCAGCTTGTGGTTTTAATTCATGCATCATTAATAAAGGGAGGATTTGGTTTTTCAACCAGTCTTCCTCACCCCACAACATGTACTCCACTGTTTTATGTATACAAGAATGATTAGATCAATATTGCAAATTGCTTGTTTGTTTGGTTAGTTTTTTGGTTTTATTGTGTGTGTGTGTGTGTGTGTGTGTGTGTGTGGTGCTGGGGATCAAACCCAGCACTGAGGTATATCCCTAGCCCTGCAGTATTACAAGTTAAGTTGCAATTACACCCTTCTGAGCTAAGTCATACAGTATATAATACCCTTTCCATCACTGAATAACTTTCTGTGTTCCCTGGAGTTAGTGATTGTCTTGGTTTTTCATTTTTGGTTCATCATCCAGAAGTCAGCATTGACTCAACTCCCTCCATTCAGGAACTCCTGTTATCAAGGTCACGTACTGCCTCTGTGCTGTCAAGTTTCAAGTTTGAGGGGGAGACCAGCAGCATTTAATGTGGTTGAGCCCCTGTCCTTTCTTATAACATACTTCATTTGGCTCTGTTAACATTACATTTTCCTGGTTCTGCCCCACATTGGATGTTCTTTCTCAGTCTTCTTTTCTTGCTCCTCTTTGACCTGGAACATTCTAAGACCCAGTGCTGTCTCCCTCCTCTTCTCTTTTTAGCTGGTTTTATATATATTCTACATATCTGATCACTCCCAAGTTCATATCTTATTCTGGGCTTCTCTTCCAAGTGCCAGACTTGTGGTTACAACTACCCAATGACACCTCTCCTCGGATTCCCAATAGGCTTCGATAACTTCACATAGTCGAACTCTCTCTTTTTTTTCTTTTTGGTGCTGGAGGTACTAGGATTTGAACTTAGGGCTTCATGCTTGCTAAGCAGGCACTCTACCAGTCTGCCAGCCCTTTTTTGTGATGGGCTTTTTTCGAGATAGGGTCTTGAGAACTAGTTGCCTGGCCTCAAACCACGGTCTTCCTGATCACTAACTTCAGAGTAGCTAGGATTACAGACTGATCCACCAGTGCCCGGCTCATAAACATTCTTAACTTGCAAAAGTAACTCAAGTAAAAAGCAAATGAAGGAGGGGAAAAGGTTCGACAGTCTTTTCTATAATAAAACACTGTATAGTGCCAAGTTGGGTGGATTCACATCTAGAGGCTCATCTGTGGCTCCAGGTTCCAAAGCCCCGGCCTCCTGCGCTCTAGGGACAAATGTTTCTGCCCAGGGGTGAGGGGTGGGAGGTGCAGGGATCTCCCGGGCCTGTCTGCGTTCTTCCTCCCCAGAAGCAGTCAGAAGGAGCGGTAATTGCCTTGGGCCGGGAGGGGGGACCGGGAGTGAAAGTCACAAGGAAAAGGAAACTTCGAGGTCCCCAGGACACGACCAGGCGGAGGCCGGGGTCGGGCACAAATTGGGCTGCGCAGCGCGGGCGCACGGTGCCGCTCGCCCCGCCGGCCCTAACGAGGCGCTGTGCCCGGACTGCTAAGCGCGCCATGAGCGCGGCCCCGGGGACCGCGGGTCGGCGCCACCCGGAGCGGAGCGCGGCGCCCGGAATCACTTAGTGCCATCAGCCGGCGGCCGGGGGCGGGGGTGGGAGGGTGGTTTGGGGACCGAAGTTC